GGAAAGCCCTGGTCCTCCAGGCTCCGAAGCTCTTGCTTACACCATCGCTTGCAAAAGACCTTGTAAATTTCACCTTGCCGCTCCGTTTTTAAAGCTAGTGCTTAAGCACTTTCTCATTTCCTCCTGGACTTCATTGTCTCCTCATGGCACTACTATTTTAATGTCCTCATTCTGGGGTAGAGGATGCTTTAGGAAGGTGCCTGTCTCTCACAAGCTGGTGAGAGACAGAGCAGGTTCAAATTTAGAGGGGCCCAGGGCAGCCCCTAATCCCAGCGTCCCATGCTTCGGCCAGCCTTACCTGCGGAGACGATCCAGCAAGAGGACTCAGCCCCGAGCCAGCTGAGGAAGGAGGCCGGAGGACTGATCAATTGTTTGCTGTCTCCTCCCCTCCTCTCACGGAGTTTGCAAATTCCTAAGCACAACACCTTTGCCATCCACGCCCCACCCCCACGCCCCAGCCTCACCAGGCCTCATCCAGTCCTGAAGCCACTGCCGACTTCCAGTCGCTGGACCCCTGAGCTCCAGCTCCAGCTCTGATTCCTCTGCGTCTCTGGATGAGCCCGCCCCACCCCGACCCCACCGTCTGGACGCGAGGCTTTCCATGCAATAAAGTCACCACTAACTGCCAAGTTACTCAGCCATAAGCCCAGGGGTCAACCTAGATTCTGCTCTTTTCTTTAATCCCCGTGTTTATCCATCCCCGAGCCCTTTGAGTTTGTTCACTTCTTTCTCTCTCCGTGGTTCTGTAACTGAGCAGGACTGTATGGTGTCTTCCAAGGACAAACTCCCCCGCCACGTCCTCTGCTTTAGCTCCTCTCTGAAGTATCTAGATCGTAGTATTAGATGCACATCTCCTGAGTTGTTTTATAGACACTAAAACCCCCTCCAGGTGGAAGAAATTGACTACCTGACGACCGTGAGCACAGAGCCCTCAGACCTACTGGAGCCTGAGGACTGACGATGTTAACCCTGTGACACAACCCTGTTATCTCACTATCAGCCAATCAGAGAATTGTGCACAAGCTGATTGCATACCCTGGGACTTCCCCTCCTCACCCCGCCTCTAAAAATGCTTTCCTGAAACCCATCAGGAGTTCTGGTGTTTTGAGCACTAGATGCCCTGGACTCCTTGCTGGGCGCCCTGCAATAAACGGTGCACTTTCCTTCACCACAGCCTGGCGTCAGTAGACTGGCTTTACTGTGCGTGGGCGAGCAGACCCGAGTTTGGTTCGGTAACAGCTCCCAATGCTTGTCGCAGGGTCCAGCAGTGAGGGCAGACAAGACTCACGGCACTGGAGACAGACGAAACACAGCCAGTGTTCAGTTCACCAATCACTTGGTTTGCTGCATACAATTCGCACACAAGACAGGTTAGTGAAAGTTGGGAAAATAGAAAAGGGGGTAATGAACCACTCCAAGGAGAAATCGGGGCAGCACTGGTCTCCTGCTGG